GGTGGCAGTGCTGGAAGGTGACAGTGCTGGAAGGTGACAGTGCTGGAAGGTGCTGGAAGGTGGCAGTGCTGGAAGGTGACAGTGCTGGAAGGTGCTGGAAGGTGGCAGTGCTGGAACATGACAGTGCTGGAAGGTGACAGTGCTGGGAGGTGACAGTGCTGGAAGGTGGCAGTGCTGCAGCTCAGAGCTCCTGCAGTTATGGATCAGGTGGTGACTGACAGCAGCTCTAACAATGGCTTCCCAGAAATTTCACATTAACTGAACTGGCAGCTGTGCTGCTGYTCCACTTCTGACTGGAAATACCAATAGCAGCTGAGTGTGGATAAACTGGCCCATGTTCTAGCCAGAGATTTCAGACACACAAATAGCTTGGCAAAGCTTTGTGAAGCACAGCCTCTGGTAAATCCCTGTGTGAAAGCATGATAGCTTCTGTTGTATAAAATGTTATCTAGGAGGTGGATCTCGATTTCTGTCAGAGAATGTACAATTAGTGAAAAGACATATAAGAAGACTGAAATAGGTAAATATCTGAGAAGCTGAGAAATTCAGTACGTTGCTTTTATTAATTTGTGACTATACTGAATGGACKTCACTCATAATAAAACAGGTCCTTGCAGCTGCATTGATTTTTCCCAGCATTCCATTATTTATATTCTGTATTTAATTTAACTGTACCTGGTATATTTGGTGCCCCCAGTGTGGCACACTGCTGCCCAGGGCACTCTGACCCATGGCCAGTGCTGGTCCCAGGCTGGTGAACACCCCGTGCTCCTCGGGGGTGGATGGACAGACTGGGGGAGCAGTGAGGATAAAGCCAGACCAAGCACTGCTGGGGTGCACAGGGAAAGGCTGTGCTTTCTTTCTTTCTTTCCCCGGGATTGTTTCCACTTCACACACTCTGTACCAGTATGTTTTTAATGTGAAATGGCTCTTACTGCAGAGCAGATAATGCACTGGGTGTGCAGCAGGGTCTGGGGCAGATGTGAGCTTGAATCTCTGTCCTTAGGAGCAATAACTGAGCCAGAGTGATGGGGGCTCTGCTGGGGAGCAGTGCTCAGAGAATACACATGGACAACATGCTATTCACTGTGTTACTGTACCTTAACATTACATCTGCTCATTACTGAGGGAATAGTAAAGTTAATTTTTGTTAGATTAATGATACTTGAGTAATATTTTTGGTTGAGCTGAGTTCAAATAATTGGCCATTAATTGAAAAAGGAAATTGAAAGGAATTTATCTTSTACATAAATCCTGTCACAGTTATTAATACGTCTTAGAAAATATTGTCTTGTTCCCAGAAATGGATGGTGTACACTGATTCTCCCAAGCTTATTAGCTCTGGCAATTTAGAGTTTGGTTAAGTAAAAAAGRTGATTTAGGAAGAGAGATGTAATTGGATTG